GGCGCGTTTATTTTACTGCGTTTCTAGTCCATTTTCCTGCGCACACCTATCGCCTCTTGCTTTCGATATCACGCAACGCGAAAGCTTGCCGTTCAACGGTTCGGACGGCGCCGTTCGCGTTTCTGTAACTGTTTCCTCCGTTCCGTTTGCTGGCAGGATCTTCACTTTCACTGTTTGCTCTCTGGAAATCATCGTACATTGTGCAACGATTAAACTAGATATCCTCTTGCGTTCACTTTTGAAAAATACAATTTTACAAACTACTCCATAAGTACTACCAACGTATCCGTTATTTCACGATTCCATAAAATACACACATCAATCTGAGCAGCTAGTTATATTTAGGAAATACAACTGAATATATTTTACGATCGAGAGACTTCTGAAACAAAAGTCTGTTATTGTATTTTTAAACAATCCTGTAAGAAAGCCAAAGTGAAATTATTGTAAGATCGCGGAGATCGGGACCTTAATGAACGTATCCCGGGAACAACAAGAAAATAATTAGGTTTATCAATTAGAGTCTGGCAATCGGAGCTGCATCGCGTTCCTCTTGCTTTCAGGCTCAGTCTTTTGAAAGCCCGCCCCCAGCGGTCGTCGTTCTTAGCCCGAGCTCTTGAGAAAGGAAAGCGGCGGCCTTCTCTCTTTGTCAGAGCGTCTATTGTTTCTCGAGGATGGATGGGAACCGCTGCTGGTGACGCGGGACGCCGGTCGCCGCCGGGTTATTCCTTTACGCGTCGCATTCGACAATAAAGATGCATTCGCGCGATAGAAAGGAACCACCTGACAACAACTCGCCTCGAATCCAGATTACGATCTAACCGCGAAACTCTCGGCAACCGCCGCCCGATGATCCATGGGAAGACGGGGTATTAATTCGTCACGGGTATACGCGCCCCGGTCAATTTTCGTTATCGACGGCTCACGTAAATCTTCGATAGGATGGATTTCCGATTGAACAGAGATCGGTTGTTCGCGGCAATCTACATTGCAAATGAAGCTATTATCCCGTGCCACTTTCGATAAATTATAGACCAGACTGTACACGATAAAATGCCGATCCCGTGTACCTAGCTGAGATACATAATATTCATTTTTCATCTAGAGGATCTTCGATAGCGATAGTGAACGGCGTACGAGTTAATTGGTACGGGATCACGAGACTTCGCGATGTTAACGGTGAATATGATCGTTTGAATTAATTTGATTCGCAGGAATCTGTGACTGGGGACGTCGTGGATTGCCGGTGAATTGATACAGAATGAGTTTACGTTTTTCGAGGAATTCAACCATTTATCGGACGTGGTTTCCAGTGACTAATGTTATCTTACTGACTGTATTTATTAGGATACCTCCTATGAAACCTCGTATACGTCAGAATTAAGGGCGAAAAGTATTTCGAGTTACAGATAATGAAACGATCATCTTTTTCCTAGAAAATTACATTTATTTGTACGTATTGTAAACGTTACGAAATAACTTATATATTTTCAGATTCCACCGTTTATTCAGCTGTGAAATCGGCAATCGTAAAACGTTAGACGTTCCGTGGGGATAATTACGAGCGATTTGGTAGGTGCTAATCATTGGGACATCGCCCTGGCTTCCGTCCGAATTCCTGGCAAGGTAACGACCAAGAATCACTAATATACAGGCGGCATATACACAGGGGGAACACGTGCACCGTACATATATACATATTTACACAGGTTAGACAGTTCGACCGGCAAGACTTCCGTCGCTCGAGGCGACGCCGCGCCAGAAAACGCAGGAATTCGATTCGGCGGCATAAAAACCGGCGTTCAAGGTATGCGGCGACAACGTAAATTGAGAAACAGACTGTACAGAGGGAAAATGGAAAGTTAAAAGACAGACGGACGGCTAAATTTAGCCGATCGTTCGGCTCGCCCCAATTTCCGTCCGAAAATCACACGGACCCGATCGTTAATTGGAGTGACATACCGACGATCACACGATTAATTCTGAAATTTCCTTTTTAGAAAGCTGGGAGTCTCGGGAGAAGGTGAATCAACAATACAATCTTGAGCAATATAAATCGGTAGACAGTAGGAATCTAATTACACCGGCCGACTAATTAGATGATCCAGGATATCAGTCTCGCATCTTTTCCGCGAAGAAATCGTCTTTCCGCCTTCCAGCCACCGGCAGGGGTCGAGGAACAATCTACGCTACCGCATCGTACGCACCATTGTGCGGTACACATAGTTATTTCTGTGCATCCGCAGGTAGATTATTACAATTTCCTCGTGACAGAGTTTTCATACGTAGATCTACGATGAATTAACTGTAAATAATCCTTCATATCTTGTGAAATTTCCCGTTGAAAGCTAATAGAACAATCCATGTTTAAATATTCAACTTCTGTTCTATGTTCATTGCTCGAAAGTTCAAAGAAGCATCCTAAATTCATACTACATCTAAAGTACACGTATAAGATCAAAAGAAAATTTGTCACACCGTGTAGTTCCATTAACAATCAGTCAACAGTTCCAAAGTTCCAACAGATAATGTATACTGGCTGTTTATTTGGAGCACAGTCGATTGTTAATCAGTCAATCATAATGTTAAATCAGCCAGACATTTTGTAAATCCCGTATGAATTACAGATGAATGTTGGAAAGGTTAATACGCGACCGTCCACTCGTACATTCTCGTTCCCTGTGTCCACACGTTGGCCGTGTTGTGCCGTGCTTAATGCGTGCACAGAGCTGCACGTGTGGATGTCATTCTATTGTAAACGGGGATCCACACAAGCGGACGCGGTTCTATTCTCGTGCATTCCGAGCCATGCGGGTAGCGCAGGCCTGCGTTTCCTGTGTACTCACGCCATGCCAGCTCTTTGCGCGTACGCAAACGCGAGTGCGCATGAACACATGTGCGATCTTATGGCCGTAAAGCTAGTGTTTATTGTCGAGCCGACGTGACGGGTACGAGAGAACCCGATGTCATATTGCACTGCGACTTCGACAGAAATGAACTACGCTACCGTGCATCGCTGGTCGATGCACTTCCGCTCGCGTCGGACGCCATTGTGTCCATCTGCGTTAGCCTTTGTTGCGCTAGTTCCGAATGCTATAATTTACGGCGATCAATAACATGATGATGCTTCGTATCTGATCTATCTTATAGATCTTGGATCTTAAATTTTCTTTATTTCGTGCTCTGTTGTGAATATTAACGTTCAATTGATACTTTATTTGATAGGTATCACTGTATAAATTAAGATTCTTTTAATGACTGAGATATCTGAAAGCATAGAATGAGTAATTTCTAAGAAAAATATGAAAATTAAGATAGGAAGTGGACTTAATGTTCCAGTAGGTTTTAGTTTGTCTAGCCGGACTGAACGCCGAGACGCCAGGATACGGGCGATCGGCTAATGAAAAGATAAAGTCCACTTACAGTTACGTCACCGGTATCGGCCGATCGATCAACAGGTATTGACCAACAGCGCATTGACGTGCCGCGCAGGTGCCTGAACAAACGTGGGTGTCGCCGTCTCGTGGGTGGCTCGAAGGCTTGAAATCCAGGATTTTTGCTCACCTTTCGAAAATATAAAGTTTTCGTTGAGTGAGATCGCGTCGCCCACGACACCGTGAACAGCGAACAGCTGCGGAACACGACCAATGAAAACTTGGTTCCTTTCCCGCGTAGGACGACAGCCGAGACACGGTTATCGCAACACGTGCAAATACGTGGGTCAAATCGTAAAAATTCGTTGTGCTTTTAATGAAACCTACAGAAAAAGTGTAACCTTATGGTAAACTGTGAAATCTCATTGTTCCTACTTAAAGGTACGAGGTTCGACTGAACGGTACCAAAGAATTTCACCCTTAGCCACTTGACTAACGATTCTTCGTTAGTTTTATTGCTCCTGTCTAGAAATATGAATATAAAATTTGTTTAGTTGTGCTCGCTGCAACGTAAATCTTTAGTTCGACCCACGAAGAATCGAAAATAATAGAAATGAAGTTTACGGGAAACATTGTTTAGGAAAGAATTTCCAATGAAAATGGAAAAGGGTGCGAGATTAATATTTTCTGAGCGACGAATGTGTTTTAGGAGAACGAAGTAAGCTGAAGATGATCCTAATAGATAATTCTTCTTCCGTTGGCTACCAGTAAGTGTAAAACACGGACCGGGTATTGGAATTACATTGCATTACTATGCCAAACACGGTGTTCGTGAATGCATGATGGCGCGCGAGACAAGGTCCTGCATCTTTACCTGTCGACCCGTCCATTCTCTTCCTAGCCAGGTCCTGAAAAAAAACCTGTTTCGGCCAGCATCGAATGCATTTTTGTGTTCACCGCTAAATGGGGAGGAAACGAGTGCGAAGTTCCCACCTTCTTCTGACAAAGATGTCTCCATTTAATACACTAGTGTTTGAATTATTCAAGCGCGGCGAGGAAAACCGCAATTTCTTAACGACATAGGGAACGTTCATTACCAGTTTTCCTTAAATCAGATCCCATGAAAAAGCATATGACTCATATTCTATAAATAAAAAGTATTCTGTCCTGAATAGACATCAGGAATCTAGAATAAAAAATCTTTTGTACAATAACGCCATGAATATTTGCACAATAATAACCTTTTATGTTTAGAATGCTATACTATACATTATTTTACTCGAAACAATTCTATTTTCATTTCTCGTCTTATTTAAGATATCTCAGTACCTTGTAAAATAGTATATATGCTAATTACTTATTTGCATAGCAGCATGGCCTAAATGCATACAGTAATTCCTTAAATTAAACAGATAAGGAACAAATGACAAAGAATGCACGCGTGTGTAGTTCATAGTATCACTATATAATTTTAGAAATTGACTTGAGAGGATAAAAGATGAAAAATATAAATAAGAAATGCCTGTTTGTTCGACAATAGGGATCTAACTTGTCTCTATCCGCAGGATAATTCAAAACCGAGCCCGTGGCGCCACACCGTGGCGGACTGGAGGAAACGCACGGCAAGTTTGGGTGACTCGTAGCAGGGGAAAATGTCTCGCAGGTATCTGGTTTGACGAACCACGATGCATGCGAGGTGCATGTGTGTGCGTATCGTGTGAATTTTCACAGGTGGTGATTTTTGGTGCTGGACAAGGAGCCCGAGATTCGCCGGTCGTCGGACAGTAGTCGAAAAGAGGAGACGCGAGTTCGAGGCGCCGTGATCGCGGGGCGTATCCCAAAATCGTGGGGGAAAAACGGCCCTGATTCGGTCAAGCGAACTCCGCGATACTGTGCGTCGTGTTTTGTCGCATTCCGTGAGAGAATCACGGGTGTACACGAAAACCAGTGCAAGTGAGAACAAGCTGGTAGGGGAGGGTGAGTCAAGTTGAAGGGAGATCGATTTGACACGACGACCACCGAGCTGATTCAGCTTCGCGTACGATGTCGGATCGCTTTGTGACGATTTTTTACGGTAAGACGGGAACCTGGGTCTAAACAAGTAGGTGCTCGCGAGATCAGCGTTTTAAATTGACAAGTGAAAACTGATTTTTGTTATCGTCAATCGACTCACCGTGAATCACTGCCAATGTGCAACTCAGCCGACGCTTCATACGTACAAAAGCTAGGTTATCTGCATCTCGGAGATGAACCCAGTGACGCCGGCGGTGCAACGGGTATCGGCAGGGTCACAGGATCACGACCCGAGGCTCAGGTACCCGTGTCGAGGAATACCGCTAGCAGAAGCGATGCTAGAGGGCCTGGCAGACCAGTTGGTGCCATTGAAAGTTTCATTGAGGGCAACTCTGAGAGCACCAGACAAGTGTCAGCAACTGATTACAAATTATACGAACGTGAGAATATTATAGCTGCATCCAGGTTCGCTACACCCAAGCCTGTAGAGCAGATTAGTGCCCAACAGCAGCAGCAAAATCAAAGTCGTATAAGCCATCAACAAGCACCGGTGTATGAGAATATCGATTACTATCCGCAGCAGAGTCAACCTCATCCCCCGTACTATCATCCAGTGGAATCAAGGAAGAGCCCTAAGAGTAGCCCCAGAGGTTCCGTGGCTAGTGAATCCTATGAGCCTACTTTTAGAAAAGCACAACCACAAGTGCCCACTGGGAATCGATATCAATCTGTGTCACCGGCAAAAGAGTTGCCCCCGTACGAAGCCCCTCCAGTTTATGAGAACATTCAGGAGGTACACTTCCCAGAGAACGCACAGAACAAGCCAGGTCCTCAAGTTCCACCTAATTATTATCACCCTGCCACAATCAATGGCGGTGATTATGTTGTTATGACTGGGAAAGTAGGTCAAGCACAAAATCAACGCGGTATGACACAAAGTTTATCTTATACGCAACAAAGAGGAAGCAATATTCGTGGCCAAAGTTACGATGGCTCAAGTTTACAACGTTCCGTGGACTCATCCACATCAAGGTACTTACAAGGATCATCCTCTTCATTGGATCACCAAGCTGGCAGAAGTGCTTACGTCCCACCATCCGAGTTACAAACACCGACCAGGAATTTTAGTTATAGTGCTGAGCAACAACAACAACATTCTCCTAGGTCTGGACTCCCTTATCATAGTGAATCTCCACCGATTCGTTTACCACCGGAACCTCATCACTACCGTGGGTCTTTAGACAGTACACTGAGTGGCCAGCATGGATTCAGAGCAACAAATCATATTGAAAGTGCACAACAGTCACAGTATCGACAAGACAGTCCACAAAGTTACAAACCATACATAGAATCAAGCACAAGAACCACAAATCCAAATATCTCAGGAGAAACTCAGGCAAGAAATTCTCCAGTTTATGGTGTGAGACAAGGAGAACAATCGGTTTGTAGAAATTCTCCTTGCTACTCACCCAATAGAGTATTACCACCAAACGAGAGAAATTATCATCACCAAGAACCTAGAGGAGAATTTCCAGCCAGAAACTCACCAATTTATTCTTCCAATAGATCAACAGAACACTTGAGATTAAGCAATCTCCAAAGTGATAGAAACTTTATTCAGGATGTACCTGATCCATCTGAAACAAAAGCATCAACAGTGTACTCGAGCAGGGGTGCTGATTCCTCTAGAATCATTGCTAACAATAATACTGTGAGGGGTTCTCCAAAAACGAGTCCAACTCATAACCAAGTGTCATCTGATACGGTTGCACATAATATGATTAATTCACCGAGACATGTGTCATCATCTTCCTCAAATAATACCATTGGGAGTCCTATACGTGGCCAAGTACAAGCACCGGTAACTAGTGCTACAACCACCACTACAGAATCTGACATAAATATACATGGTCCTAGGATCACTAGCCTACCCCCAGGGGTGACTAGTGGTGTGGCTGGTCCAGTTTTTTTAAATGCTGGTGTACCTGTACTACAAAGGCCATCTGAGCCAGAATTGGAAGAAAGGAAGTCAGTTAGTCCTCCGATCAAACCTACATCTGGCAAAGGACTGCTGCCTTACAATGTCATACCGCCAAGACCTTCAGTAAGGAACGACTCAAATGAGTCCAAAAAAAAATATTTTTCACTTCTCTCCAAAACTCTAATCACTGCCTCTGTCCTCTTTCTTGTTTGTCAAAGGCAGCTATATCGTAACGCTATACCCGCGTTAATTGGGTTAAGGGAACGCGCCGATGCTTTCGATTTGTCTTGGCTAAACGCCAATCGCCGATTCATTTGCATGCCGATTTCATATAAAATCGTGACTGTGTTCGCATGTAACCATCCTCGAGCTACTTTATGCGTTGCTTTCTTAACACACTGACAAGAATCTCTATATTTTATTGTATCTGTATTTTGTAACGAAAGAACTCGATACGAAATTAAGGAAAGAACTGCGCTACTCGCCGCATTTAAGCGATGATCTCACGAATGTCAACCGCTATCGCTGATATTTTACATAACGGATGACCCATGTAACGATAAGATTAGCGGATATTCGAACAAAAATGCTGCCCGGGCAATCCGATAAACGTTCTCCGTCTTAATCCACGAGAAATTTCGAAAATCGCCGGCTTAGCGGAAAGGGAGGGGAAAAAAAATTCACGCGCAGATTTCAGTATATCTTACACATTCGTGACGAGTTCTTTCTCCGAACTCGCGCTGAATCACTGGCTGTAAATTGTTTCCTCCTGACAAGCGTTCTACAGTTCCCGCACAATATTTTATTCATCGACTGTATGCGTCTTCGCAAAAGCATGTAATCCTCTCTTCTTCTTCTTCTTCTTCTTCTTCTTCTTCTTCTTCTTCTTCTTCTTCTTCTGCTTCTTCTGCTTCTTCTTCTTCTTCTTCGTCTTCTTCTTCTTCGTCTTCTTCTTCTTCTTCTTCTTCTTCTTCTTCTTCTTCTTCTTCTTCTTCTGTACTTCCTTCTTTTGTTAATGTTATTCGTAACTGTGTTGTACTATACATCCTGCACTTTCACATGGATTCCTGCGACGAAACCTCATCCCGGCCCGTGGCACCGTTGTTTGTACTTATTGATCACAACACGGGATGCGTTTTATTTCTTCAGGGGCCTACCGAGGCGGAAAGGAAAATAGAAGAGCTGACAAGACAACTGGAAGAAGAAATGGAGAAGCAAGAGGAGGAAGGGGAGTACTTCGGTAAGGAGGAGTCGCCGGGCAATTAATGGAGACATCCTTAGTGTTCGCTAATGCGCAATAACCTCCGTTGCGCATCTATATATACGTTTTGTTTACGTAGCGGCCGCGTTCACCTTCCGCGATTCCCCGTAATCTGTTTAAGCAGATTAAACTTCAATAATGTCGCGCCGCCCCGTCATTACTCCGCCAGTGACACATTCCGATCCGTAATTTAAAATACTCCCGCGAGGGGAGAGAAAAAAAAAGGGGCAGACCGGGGTACCGTGCCAGTTCCCACGGCACGAGTTCCCGGTAGACCGGTTTTGGAAAATGGAGTCGAGTTTCAATGTGTCGCGAAACTTTTTAATGCCGCGTTTCGTTGACATTCACTCTCGGCCCATTCGTTTCCACCTACGTGTCTCCACACCTACTTGAAACGCTACAAGTGTGCGCGTCACACGGATTTCTTAGGTGCACTCTCACACAACCGTTCGACGTCCCTTGGCCCGGACGTGTAGGTCCGAACGCCGCGCCGTAAGGTGCTGTTCACATTGGACAATATCAATGTCAATTACACAGTTCAGGTGCTTAGCGCCCTGTCCGCCGGAATAATAGAACCGTCAGGTTTATTACGAGCGTTGACGGCGGCTCGGCATTAAAAACATGAAAGCTGCTAAAAGTGGGTCAGAGTTTATCTGCCACTGAAATTGTTCCGCGGACCATCAAACGCCAAGATTACGCAAACCATTCTCAAACGCATTCGATGGTATTCGAATATGCAAATCGCCCTGTCCTTTTGTCTACGGACGATTCTGACCTTTTCGAGGTCAAAAATCCGCAAATGCGTTTCGCAACGCGCGGCATATCCCGTGTCTGTATTCGCACGTGGCTCGAAGGAAGCAATAAGGAAGTTGAAAGATGGTGCGAGCGCGACAGGAGCTTCAGCGGAGCGAGTCGGTGTCAGTCGATAAGTGGCTGGCGTTTAGGCGAGCCTAGTGTTCCTCTTCGTTTTTCTGCACGGAGTTCTATTCTTCGTGTAACGTCCTGTACACGGGCAAACAGCCGTGGCCACGTCGCGCTCGCCACGGTAACTAATCTCGTTATAGATAGACCAGTCCGACTCGTTGGCGGCTTCTAGTTCGAACAGGACTGGCGTACCGAAACCAAGTCGTTAAATCGAACGCTGCGAGTGTCGCGAACCGTCGTCGAATGAAGTATCGAGGATTCATACGGAAGGGATGGCGGAGACCTTTTTGCCCATAGAGAGCTGTGAGTTCGTTTATGGCTAATCCCCTCGACCCCGACGCAATCATTGCTCCCCTCCGAAAGAACGGAATCTATTGTCGAATCCTGACGAGGGTATTTTTAAACCTCGCCAATGGAGCTATCGCGATACGTACATCCGCAACCGCGATCAACCAAAGAATTCGCCTGTTGCGCAATGGATATTGTTGTGCTTTAGCATTAATGAATCCATACACTGCGAGCATGTACTGAAACAGCTTTTTATAGGCATCTGTCACACGTGCGGCGAAAAGGTAACAGGGGCCGGCCAGGCCTGCCAAGCCATGGGCAATCTGTACCACACCAATTGTTTTATATGCTGTTCCTGTGGGAGAGCATTGCGCGGCAAAGCGTTCTATAATGTCCACGGGAGGGTATACTGCGAGGAAGATTATCTGGTACGTAACACGGTAGCACTGTGAATTCATGAACGACAAAGTATCATGTAACTCACTCCACGATTACCTCTGCAGTATTCCGGCTTCCAACAGACGGCCGAGAAATGCGCGATCTGTGGACACCTGATCATGGAAATGGTAATTAACGTTATGACCGTTAACGGTAGGTTCTCGTTTGAACGGCGATTCAACTAAGGTTATAATTTCCATAGATTTTGCAAGCGATGGGAAAGTCTTACCATCCAGGGTGCTTTAGATGTTGCGTCTGCAACGAGTGTCTGGACGGTGTTCCTTTCACAGTCGACGTGGACAATAAGATATATTGCGTGAATGATTATCATAGAATGTTCGCGCCTAAATGCGCCTCTTGCGGCAAGGGAATCACTCCTGTCGAGGTAAACGACGACGCTGCCAACCACGCAGATCGACTTCCACGGGACTTTACCTTAACATTACGCAATGTCCACGTTTTAGGGGACCGAGGAGACCGTGAGGGTAGTTTCGATGGACAAAGACTTCCACGTGGACTGCTACGTCTGCGAGGACTGCGGTATGCAACTGACAGACGAACCGGACAAACGATGCTACCCACTCGACGGCAGGTTAATGTGCCGTGCGTGCCACATCCAACGCATATCCCACACACAGCCTAGAGCACCGCAGCCAGTATCAGCTAGTTATCAATTTATGGGATAAGTTTAAACGAATTTCGCGGCTATACAGATTTCATCGAGCACAATTCGGAATTGCACGCAGTCGGTCGAATGAATCGGTGTTATCCACTACCAACGGAAAGATAAGACTTACCTATTGGTCCACGCGATTTGAACCCATAGAGACAGACGTCGATCTGCATTCTACTTAGAGGTCTACAAACAAAAGAAAAGAGAAAGAAAAATGAAGAGGAAAAAAAAAAGAAAGGGAAAGTTATAGCTTTATTGTTCCTCCAAATAAGAGGTTCGGATTACGTACCAAGACTGGCTATTTACGGAACCGAAATACTTACACTGCCCTCTGGGATCAATTTAGATTCTAGATTATTCAGGTCTAATCTATATATCGTTAACCTATCGATGATCTGTTATAATTCGCTAGCAGTATATATTGTCGCGGTGGTGCGACGATTTTCCATTGACAGCTACTAATATAGGTAAGTGGTATATTTAATATATGTGGTCTTATTTATTTGTCCAAGGTACCGCGTGCAAGTGCGGTAGTCTCATTTAGGATGAGCGAGTTGCGCAGGCAACTGTGATATATTAGCATAATAACAACATGTCGTTAAATAATAATTCCTTTATTTAGTTCATGTATATAATATATACGTAATCATATTATTGCGACGTGTCCGCTATGCTGAGGATCGACGGTAGACGTAGACAGATCTCAATGATCAAGACCTAAGATTTCTGGATACGTCCGATATCAAGACTTTTATGATGGCACATATTGCCGTACTTGATTGTATCGCGTTTGCTAACAGTATTTATTATGACAATACGTTTATACACCGATCATTAGAACGAGAACATACACAATACTCTTGAGATTTAGCGATATTGCTCAGGAATTAAACGAAAAGTGGTTCATGATCGTACGATTACTCTAGCTGAAGCTCAAAATTTTAGGACCCCCGTGACTCCAACAGTCGTGGGGTTAAGTTTGCTGCATTATCGATAACTAACTTTACAACGCACAACTCGTGCTGCCAAAAAATTTGCTACGTTTCACGATTAATCAATATCTTTGCGTCTAGGTGTAAGCTGCGAGTATTGTAGATACAAAGTACAATGTTATTTAAATGTATGCACGGTATGTAAAAAAAGACGACCGTTCAATAAAGAAGAATATACCTGCCAACGTTAATTTCTATTGTTTCGTTAAGGACGCGAATCACGCGAATGAATAATTCGAGGGTGTAACTTCTCGCAATAGACTTTAATCGTAATACAATAATATTACACATTTACAACCAATAATATACATTCATATGCGTACTTAGGTTTTAGGATAGACCTAGTCCATTACCTAAGCTTCAATTCTGAACAATTTAACTTCGTTCCATATCGTTACGTTTTCGGGGATTCGGAGTGCCGGTTGGTTTTTATCGGCGGTTTATACGGTGGCTTTGTTTTATTCGATTTTTCTGTCTGCAACACGTCAGAAGTGAATTATAAACATTTAGGCATTATTACATTGTTATCCTCTAAACCTACAAATGCTAAATAACAGAGAATTATAGAAAATTAATTAATTTCTGGCAATGTAATTGAAACCTACTCAAAGCATCAGTTGTAGGCTATATCATGAATGCATGTAAGAAGAACAGGAGAACACATATTTCAGATGAATATCACTTTTACTGTATTTGAATTTCTAATTTGTACAGAGAACACTTTATGGAGGTAATACCTTAGCAAAAATTCGTAGCAATTCACTAAACGGGAAAGGTTTCACTAATCCTGAGTTCCTGAGATGTTTGATTGTCATTGTGGTGATACCTATATATTATACATATTCATTGTTATTGCAATCCTCTGAATTCACCATAAAAATGATTTTGTTAATTCCATTTAATTACCTAAAGTCAGTGCATATCTAAAGGGTGTAAATATTTTAAATAGACCATACGTTAAGGCCCAGTTTCCTGCATCAGAATTCTTTGCCATGTCTATATACTTTTGATGCACATGTAAAAATTCCAGTAATGTTTCTATGTTCACACCACTAAAAGAATATACATAGGACAGTGTAACATTATAAGATGTTCATTAAAGTAAGATATTATATAATATTGATGCCTACTTCTTAACCATTATATAAAATATAATAACCCAACCAGCAGTGGTAACTAAATGTACTGGTATTAAAATATGCCAATAATCTTTGGCCATCTCTTTCATCCTTGTAAGCAATGATACATTTTGTGGTTTACAGGAATTTTCAGGTACTTGTTTACCAGTTTGCTTTGAACAATAATTTGCAACTGGAATACTACATTTAGTAACATTATACTTATATGGCAGTTTATTTACGGTAATATGATTAAAAAATAGTACGGAATTACGTGACGAGTTTCTGTAATGCAGGTGTTTGTCTGAAATTTATCAGGAAATAATGACAATAATATTTAACCTAATAACAAAACCGTCGAATTGAACGCACTCTAACCTACCGGATAATCTAAGCATCCATCGTTTTGGATCAGTACATTGTAAGCAACGAACTGATGCTAAAATATTTTTCGTAGTGTACAGTGAACCTAACCCTAAAGTGCTTATAAGCCTGCGATGAAGAATCACTTCCATTTTTAAAAGCAACCGCTGCTTTTCTAACCAATAAATATTTACGTTATTACCTTCGAGGTAAATATTATAAGTCTGACTTCAAGAATAATTTCAGTCTTACGTACGTGACGAGACTTACGGAAGAGATTCTGAGCTTTGTCAAAGTTGATACAAACTGATAATTCCGAAAGTTAAATAAGTATATTCACGAAAACCCACATGTTCGGCGTATCGTTCACTACAAATGTGAGTTTAATAGCGAACGACTCGGTAACAACACCTCTGCCATCTAGAAATTTGATATCTAGGCTTGGTAGACCTAATATATAGTCATTGTATAGATATGTTACATTTTTTCATTACTCAATGCCTCGCAATAATTGCAAAATGACATTTTCTAACAATTTATTCATCAATATGAAGAATATGGGTATACACAATTAGTCTTAGAAAACCAAATCGTTCTTAATAGAAATTTCATTCAATAGCATAAAACTATTCGCCATTATTTTCTGCGTCGCTATTATACTACTCTATATTTAATAACTGAGTGTATAAGTAATAATTTAAGTATAAAGAATGAAATGGATGAATAGGGATGATTGTATAATCTATACGTCCAGGGTAGTTGTGCATAAAAGTTTATTTTATTAGTTATAACTTTTCCTTTATAAACCAGTAGAATTAAATCCATATTCTATACATCCAACCTGTGATAAGTACTGGAACGAACGAATTATGCTATGTAAATAGTCCGTATAGTAGCGCCATCCACAAAAAGGCAGCCATTGGCACGGACTTAAAATTCATACAGACGTCGCATGTTGTAGAAATTTTTGTTTAGACGCTGGGAAATCCCCTTATCATTTCAGTATCGTGTTCAACGTTACCGATATTTCGTCACTTGTTAGCAGGAATTGAGTGTCTTATATACTTCGTTCCTACTACGAGCATTTAATGCGACTGTGCAGCGCTTCAGCGCGTATATTTAAAGTTCAGTGAATATAAGATTATAGAAACATAGTTTACATCCTTGTATACTGAGTATAAAGCAAAGGAAAGTTCACAATTTCATCCATGACATTCTTTAATTTGAATTCTTCATGTATTTACACAGTTGATTATGTACAAAAATAGATTCGCTTGCATTTTTATTACCTCTGTCATCCCTTTCCTCCGTTAGCATATCGAAATCTGTGCGACAATTAGAACCAATGAAACAAATAAGCACGAGGTAGTTCGTCGAGCGCCATTTTGGTACCAGTGAAAAAATAACGCTGAAACATATCGAAGAAACCCTTTATTCGCAAGATATAGTACTATATGGTATACCTTGTAAAGTCTGTTTTATTAACGACAATGTTTATCAACTCACCTGTGTCCTCGCGATTCGTGATCCAACCCACGACTGGTTCCATTTCGTTCTGTCGTTTCAACCATTGATTCAACGGTTCAAAGTATCTCAACATAGCACCAGCATCCATTCTATTCGTTCTACCTCTCGTCATTTGTCGTACAACGTCTTTCCATGATCTAGAGGAACCCATTGATAATACATCGCTAAGAAAAATAAAAAAATAATAAGAAGCACAGACTATAATATTTATAATTTACGTAATTTATAATGGTTCTCATTTTGGTACGCACGACAACAATCTGCCTGCCTCTCGTGATCTGTAAAAGTCACAAGTGTACAGGTCGCCAGTGTGACCTGCTATTTCACACAAAGCCTCGTACAATTGGAATTGCAACACTATACCAACGAAATATCTGAAAGTAGTTGCCTTTTGAGATGAAAAAAGAGGAGAACGCGGGCAAGGAATAAATTTTAGAGTTATGGGTAAAGTAATTTACATACTTGGCATAAAGAGCGTCTGCAGGGATATGATATTTCGATCCTGGATCGAAGTCTCTTTCCGATCTGGGCACTGGTGGTACGATTCCTTGATACTGTAGCCTCAATTCCCACCAATTGTTTGTCATATCAGCGACACCCTCACTAAACACACGCCACCTCCACTTTAAACATTAAGAAACAAATATAAACAGCGCCTCGACTAAAATACAAGTTGAAATTGCGAGTAAAATATATGAAAACCTCGTCAACTATGTAAGCAAACGGCATGTAGGCAACTTTACGAAGAGCCATTAGCATCAGGAAGTTGATGTTACTACCATAATCGTCTGTGGAATTGTTATGTAGCCCAATTCTACTTAAATGTTGAGGCGTGAAGACGGAGAGGCCAATGGCGTCACTGACTGCCTCGATGAATCCTAAATTGATAAAGCACAATTTATTCATTGTAACGAGAATGTCGATCAAAATTTAGTACCTGGAATAGCTTCGTTGCGGAATAACAATGGCTGATCCCTGTATTGCAAATAATATTGCAAACGAGCAATTTCACGATGAGTCGATAACAGATCATCCATCGTCACTCTCGTGCATTGTTTTATCCTGGAAGCCATCTACATTGAATTTATCGAATAATTAAATTAAAAAATGTTAGTACCTGTAGTCTATTCTGTTGCAGAAGTCCCAGGCGCTAGGAGTACACTTCACCTCTCTGTCAATTGGCTTCTCGAACATGGAGAACCTCCAGAACTCTGGCGGCATAGGTTTCATCCCCAGAGAAGTGAAGAACTCCTCGGCTATTTGGAACATCCTTAAACAATTTCAAGGTACGACATTCATATTCAGTTGAATAGGGATGAATATCGTATACATAAAGTTACCTCAAAGGTGTGAATCCCTGAATCATCATGTCTAGGGAGACATCGAGCTTCCGGCTGGCAGGAAATGGCTGAACCACATCGAACACGTCCTCCCAATTTTGAGCCCACATGTTTCCCAAAATGTGAGCTGGAAGCGGGCCGTCTCTTCGTATCTTGTCACCGTACCTTTCGTACAATTTCGTCCTGACGTATGTGAAGAGATTCTTGTAGAGATGCATCACGGCCGACATTATGTCCGCCGTGTTCTGTTGGAAATGTTCATCGTCGAATAACTCTTTCATTTGGTCTCCCGCATTATCGAATCCTGTGGATAATATAAGGACACAATGATTTTAGGAGAATATATGAATTATATATTATCATTTACCATTTAATCTAGCTGCTTGATTAGCAAGTTGAACGTATCTCATATATTTGTTCTTTAATTGGGGCCCAGTCGCTTCGTGCCAAGCATGCCAATAGTATAAGAGCTCGTCGTAGTCCTTTGATCGAGCCATTATTGCATTGACGTCTGGGAATCGTGGGAATAATTAGTCAGAAATTAAGAGTGTGTTCAGTAGTTATCTTGTTGATAATTATAGACAAACCGTGGTCCAAACTTAAGTCACAATTTGCACCTACGGGTCTGTAGGGGCACAATCTCGTCCTTGCGTATACTTCCTTCATTTCGTTGATTAAACTGTGTATCTGAAATTTAGTTATTTTTCACATTATTCTTACTTCTTGGTGTAACTGATATTATTAAGTATTACCTCGTTAAATTTATCATCAGTCAGAGAATTCCGACCTTTCACAGCGATGATCTTGAGCTCTCTTCTTGCTAGAGGATCTGGTATTCGGCTCCAAGCGAAGCTGATAGCCTTTCGCCAGGATATTCTGTCGAATTTTAATTTCAATGACTGTTCCTCCAACTAAAAACGGAAAACGAGGATTAATAGAATTTTTACATAATAATGTAAAGTCTACTTTTACCATTCTCCGACGATTAACTTCAGTAACATTGGTAGCGAAGTTCCACTGCGCTGTCGTTACCCTCGTGCACATCGCAGAAGCTTCGCTGTCGTATTCTCTTAAAAATTGAAGAGCATCCCCAAGGTTCACGTTCATGCCCTTAAAAATGTGAAAAAGATTCTAGATAATCTTCTAACATTATTTTTATTCATTTATTCACTATATTATTCTTAAGAATTGCTCCTACTGGCCTAGATACGATATGCACATACGATTCACGGCTTAATTAGAATTTCAAATAAGACTTCGACCTAATATCTTCCAAAGACTAAACGTTTCCTCGAGCGTGTCGAGTAAGTAGGCTGCTATCAAAGCGTATCATCTACAGAATACCGTTAACACTGATCAAACAATAATTGTTTAGTCCCCTTTCTCGCGATTTCTTTCGAGATATCCTTATCAAAGTTACATAATCTTGAATAATTTAACTAGAAAAAGTAACACGTTTGCTAATTTTAAATGTATTGAATTCATTTGAAAATCTTCACCGTAAGATCGACATATCAAGAAGCAAAGGGTTGAAAGCTACATATTGTTGCTTACCTCCAAATACTTCTGACAACTGTCTCGCACGAACGAACACATTAATACCGCGAAAATCAATTTTCCCGCGGTTGTCATGTCGCTTGCTATCAAACACAAGAATCAGTCGAGTAGAATGAGAAAGCAGAAGAACTTTCTCTGGATCGGGTTTTATGTGTCATCGAAAACAGACCGCAAGATGTTCACGCATCATTGGCTGATTATTCCTTTACGTACCGCTAAGGATATTCCTATCATTTCAATTAATCGCTACCAAGAAAAATTGTTCGGTACAATTATCGTTCGTTCACAAGTAGATGGATATCGGACGGAACTTTCGGATCGCGCAGTTTTCAACCTGTCGTTCCACATACTAAGCTCACGGTTCGATAGACAGTACGGTCCACGGATAAAGGATCACTCGATCGAGGGGAGTGTCCTCGATCGGATTTTATGCGGCAATTCGGCAGCCGATCGAACGTTCGCCGCGTCGATGTTGTCGTCGCGGTAAAACTGAATCGCCGCAGAAAAGAGAAACATGGTCTTCCGGGACGGATATTCCACGGGCGAAAAGAGGAAGGGACAGGCATCGCCGGTGCGTGAAGCGTGACCGTCCGACACACCGTGGCACACGCCAAAATCCTTCCATCTTCGACTTCGCTTCTGTTTCTTAACGCGCTCATTGCTTCCATCGCGAATATAGTTCACCGGAGGAAATCCGTTCATCTTACGAAAGCAAAAATCCGCGCGATACGAAGCGGCCGCGTAAGTGGGCCGAGTCGGAATCGCGGGGACCGACAATATGGCGGATCGGGTTGACTGGGCGAAGCAGGTTGGCCGCAAGGTGTAATTCAAACGAAATATAAGTTTGTTCTAAATTGTTCACGTGTATTTTTAAATTTAGTACTCTATTAAGTTTAGTATTAAATTTACAGTAGAAACTAAGGAAGACTGGTCTTTTTCTTAATGAATTAACGAATGAATGAATTCTCGTTTATTCGGTGTCAATGTTCAGCTGGATTTTTCTTTTGTGTTCCATTTTTTTTACATAATCTATAGTACACGGAAAGCACGAGTACCATGGAAAGTGGACGATTGCTTCCTTCGTCTTCAAGACAAGCACCGTAACTCCAATTATCCGGTGGCGTAACCAGTGACGGTACCGAGCCGCGTAATTTTCTTTTACAGATATAATTGCGTCCTCGCGAAGACTCGTGCGACAGTTGGACGCGATTTCGGAGGCCATTCGCTTCATGGAAGAGTTACGAGAGTAGGTGCAGCGGGGCCACCGGAAATATCGTACCAGATTTCCTTTTATGCCTGAAACATCATGGTTACGATCAATTTGAAAGCCAAGAAAGACTCTTAGTCAATCAACCTCGCAAATTGTAGATCAGATTCGCTTGGCCGACTCTGAGCCTGTTTCTGGGACGTCCTGAATATTATTCGCTCGATGTTCTTGCGTCTGTTTAGTAGCTTGTATTCCTTTTGCAGTTCCTGAACTTCCGCTTGCAGATTCACGAAGTCCAAAATGTCTGGCACCTTTAAAATGCAAGCACAAAGTGGTATATAACTTCGAGTAATTAGGGTTAAGAGGAGATAAAAACTTCGACATCTTACAGAGTGGTGTTCCATATAATTCAGCAATGAACCCAATTCTTCGTTCATTCGTGCAACGTCCTTTTCCACATGCTTGCCTTCTACTCGTAGCTCCTCAATTTGTTGATCCCTCTGCGAAATTTCCTTCTTCAAATTGCTCAAAGTACTCAGCAAGTCGCTCAGTTTCTGCTTATGCTGCGTCAGTTTCAGATGATAGTGTCCTGCAAGTCCGTCGAATTGATGATTCAGTGAAATAAAATTCTACAGCCGTACGAGAACAATGTTATCCTAAGTTTTCAATCTATTTTCCCTTGCGAAATAAACTCTTAATGGGTTAATAAGCTCAGCACCTGCGATCCTCTTCATGTCGATCACGTAGATCGTCTTCTCCTCGATCATCCTTACATAATCCTTGTTCTGAATATTCAATTGTTCGAAGTCGACGGCGCGTAGCGCCTCGCCGAGCTCCTCCCTCTGGACCAGCTGCTGTCTAGTCTTTTTGATCAGCGTCCTAAGCGTCGCGCTTTTTAGCCTCAGCCTCCCTATTATCGTGTTCGCCGATCGCAGCCATTCCTCGACGAATCTTCGCGAGAACTGACACGTGAACGCCGATATTCATTCACCGGCGCAATACGCTCCGAATTTCGCGCGATCACCTGGTAACCCTTTCGCCTGGGATTTTCCCCGTGATAGCGTCCACGCCGCCGATCACCACGTTCTCCTCGAACTCCTCTTTAGCCTCCCGTGCCTCGCTGATACGGATTTCTAGCTCCTCGATCTCCGCCCTGATATTAGCGGTCCTCTTTTTCACGTTGGTTTTCAATTCGTTCAAGTTCTTCCTCATCTGGCCCACCTCTTTGTTCGCCATTGTTACGCGATGAGCTATGGTGATCCTGATTATTTTGGTTGATACGCGAGAGGCTTAGTATTCTAAGTGGCAGCGAGATTGTATAGCAGTATCTTGAATGACTTGAAACATTTGTTACAGTTCCAATGTCTTTGAAAAATAAATATTATTGGGAAGTAACTATTTTACTGTTTCCTAACTTCGAACTGTCTGTCGGTTTCCATGTTGGGAATACACCAGGCGCCACCATTCTGCTTCCGGACATGATGCTGATCATGCTGGGCGTGCTCGGACGGCTACTGATTGTTTTGCGTCTCAATACATCCGGTATGGTCATGATACTGTCCCGGAAACTCATGCGGGATGATCGCATCGACATCATGTGGGTTAGCCTGCGCGTGTGCTTCGTCCTGTCCAGGAGTTGCGTTATGCCTTCGTGAAAGGTTATCTCTATTTATTTACAGATTTGTGCATATCCAATTTAGGGGACACCATGCGGTTATCATGTCCTCGTCGAGTCTACCATTTCAATGAACATTTTACAGAGTTACCTTTCATGATTTGTGGATCCGTTCGCGTGAGATACCGTTCGTAGATGTCGTTCTCTGAACTCAGCATCCATATCTTCTCCAAAACATCGTCTTGCATCTCCTGTAGTTCTTCGAATGTCATAGCTGGAATCGAAGAAGCTTTTAATCACTTTAAAAACCAGGAGACGTTATTGTTCACGCAGACCATCGTATTCTATGTCCTCTTCTTGTTTCTGAGTCATTCGCGAGGCGATGCTGAATATACTTCCGCGCATCGACATACCAGCCATGTCTGTTGCACGATAATTTATAATTTTTATAGATTAAAACTACAGTAGAGCGACGATTTAAGAGTGACGAGTGGAATTAGGTTAAGATTGTCAAGTGTGATCTATATATATTCAGGTGGTTGATCAATCAATAAGCGGGCGAGTTCACTATCGTGTGATTTATTGTATTATATACAAAGTGTAACAAACATTCGTGGCACGTGAAACTGTAACATTGCAATTGATCGAACTTTCTACTGCGATTCCTCGGATTCGTCTAGCAGTGATTCCTTTCCAATTTCTACTCCGTCGATGAACAAAGTGTGTGTTATTCCAATTTCCTTTTTCCCCGAAGTCTGCGACCGAATCGAGGCTGGTAGTTCCCCTACTGCGAAAATTATCTCCGCGCCGTCGTCGGTGAAATCATTCTACAAAATGGCGACGTTGAATACTACGCACATATGGCAATCGTGGAGGAAGAACAATGTCTTACTTCGGTGTCGATTTCTTCGCCGTTCACCCAAACATTCTGAGATTGTTTATCTGTCAAGAGATACACGTTATCAATAATATCAATTTAATAATTTATCTACAGCGTAATAATTACCCAACACTATTCTGTATTCTTGGTCTCCAACATTAGCCAGCCAGGTCTCCAGTATCTTCGATTGTGTCTGAACAAAGTTTTTGTAACTTTTCCCATTCACCCACAGGGTGTAAGAATATTTTAAACCTGCGTATTTGTTACAAGTTCTTCAACTGAACGATCGAAGCTTCAATGTTGCGTAATCTTACCTGGAATTGGGTCGACTCTGATCACAAACTTGTTGTCGTTGAACGTGAAGACCTCGTCACCGACGAGATGAAACATCCAATCTCTGTGAACCAACTCTTTGCCGTCCACTTTGACCAGTCGACGACCTGTCGCTGTGCCGTGCTCGAATTCTATCACATGGTTGCCGTCGTTCAGGGGAACGTTCCACTTGGCAGTCGGCTCGTCCAGCGCTTCCAAAGAGTGTAGACTTCTGCTTGTCGATTATTTTTTTTAATTTTCGATATATTAACGTGGAAATTACGGCTGAGCGTAACCAGTATTAGAGAACGTTCGAAGATAGAAATACAGGTCAAAGCATCAATAAGTTATTCATATTATTGATCTAATACTCGTTTGCGATGCACGTCGCGTTACCTTCGTTGAGAATTACACAACATTACAGAACAAACAGTAAAATATACGACGTTATTTTCTACGCGTACTAAGTGTTCCAGCTAAATTATGTGTACACCAATTTACTCACTTCAACAGAATGGCAGCCATGTTACTCAGTTACTCGTTCCACCTGCACCTGAACTGGCCTCCTTATTGATCGAATTCTCCACAGGTATTATAACTCGAATCAATAATCCAGCCGTTTTATATAATCATGCGATGCGAATTACGAGCGACACAATTGTTTATCGTATACTTCCTTAACTATTTGGAATATGGTAAATTAAAACAACACCGCAAAAACCATTTCTTTGCGTCATCGAATTTATTGTATTCCCAATGCAAGGATAATCAGGTATAAAACATACAAGAGGATTTCTAACATTTATAAAATATGAAAGTGGAGAATTATTCAGTATTGGCAGGTAACAATTTCCCGGAACACGGCCCGAATCCAATTCTATAGCCATCGCCGACACAGTAACCTAGAAAACGGTAACCGCTTAGAGATCCATCAATAAAATCGTAACCTACAAATAACGTTGAAATATTCAGGCGTACCTCGAATGATCACCTCGTCGCCATCTTGCAAGAACTTCCTGCTGGTCCCGTCTTTTAACGGTACGGGTCGAGTACCTTTCCAGCATAGCTCGAGCATGGAGCCAAAAGAATCCGGCGACTGACGCGCGCAAAAGCCAAACAAATTAATATGACATTGTTCGAGGAATTAATGGTGCACTGTCAACGAATAAATGTTTCGGACCCACCTCGCCACTTATCGTACCGGAAGCCATTAAGTCACCTGGATTGATATTGCATCCGGTTACGGTGTGGTGAGCTAATTGCTGCTGGGGTGTCCAGTACTGGTATTTGTAGTTGCTGCGACAGACAGTGGTAACGGTACCGTTTGGTGCTGCGACAAATGAGAAAATAAATGGTCACTCTAATTTTTTTAGAGTCCCGGGAGAGTTCTAGATTGATTAAAAGCAGCGAACAGTATCGGGATAATTTTAGATTATTAAAAAACCGTAGACAATCCCAGAAGAATCCGAAATTATTAAGAGTCAGTAGATGGTCCTAGAAGAATTCTAACTTAATGAGAAGCAGTGGGCCTTACTTTTAATGTCAACCTCTAGTTTCATGTCAAAATTACAAGACTCCTGGTGCTGCAAGTATGGGAATGGTTTCGGATCTTGGGGTACATTGGGCACTTTGAAGGGTTCCAGAGCTTCCATGGTGACAACCCATGGGGATACCGTTGTACCAAAGTTTTTAGATCCGAAGGGACCCAACGGAATATATTCCCACTTTTGAATGTCTCTCGCTAGAAAATCATTTATCAATTAACAGGGAATCTTTCGAGAATCTTTATTTCGATCATTACCGCTCCAGTCATTCATGGTGACCATTCCAAAAATACGATCATATGTTTTAGATGCTGCAATAGTGTCTCCTAAGTTAGTAGGCGGTCCCCCAACGAAAAAAGCGACTTCTAACTCGAAGTCCATCAACCTGGAGGGTCCAAAAAATGGGTCTGCACCTTCCACCGGAAGTGTCTGACCATGTGGTCGTTTTATCGGTGTTCCGGAGACGACGACCGAGCTTACCCTCCCATGGTAACCAACCGGTAAATATTTCCTAGATTGCAATAAACCTTGTTGAGTCTTGGATTATCATATAATTCGATCAAGTGAATTACCAATTTGGCATCAAAGCGTTTTCCTTCCCACGGAACATAATCCCTACATTGGTAGCATGATGAATGGAGGAATAAAAGTCTGTGTAGTCGCCTATTTTCGCTGGCAAGTGCATAGTTGCTTCTCTTTGGAGAACGAAAGCTCTACGAGATCAAATAAAAATGTTTAGGGGGATATTTTCTGAAAAGTTATTTCTCTTTTTTTAACTAAGTAATAAAGAAGATATTTCGTATCACTTTGAACGAATATTTGGTTCCTGCAAGGTCTCATTATTGGCTGCCAATAAGTCCTGAAGTTTGGCTCTGGCTTCTATCCAGGAAGGTCTACCCAGAGCCATAAAGTCGTTGAGGCAATCGCGACGAAAGACATCTTGATTGTTTTTCAATAAAGGTCCATCGAAAAGATGTGAGATTTCGAACAAGTCCAATATTTGATTGCCAATTGCTACGCCTATTCTCTTTTGCGGCTGAAAGAGAATTCACTGTTACTGACAGTTGATAACATAGTTCACAATATGGCGACGGTAATCCTGAGAGATTCGAGATTCGTATAAATATAAAATATTCTACTGCACGATTCAGTGTAATGATTAATTACACGGTGGTCTAACACGCGAACTAAGAATTTAGAACTTTCATTTGGTATTTTGGTGAAATAAGTTAGTAATTTCTTTAGAAGGTTGGACTTTCGTGCCATCTTCTCTCATTAACTGCTAATAGATGGCGATTGGTTCAGTAAAATTACACGTATCTCATTGTACCTAATATTTCAATATTTTTACAGATTTCCTGATGCTATTGATACTATTTCTGCTATCAGAAAATATAAAAATGATCGTACAATGGGACTATGAGTATCATTTAATGATTTATGTAGAATCTGCGGGTCTTATCCTAGATGTTATCTGTGTTATTGTCATTACGGCATCCATGACACTGTGTACTTACATTTTTCGACGTCGAGAAGACACCATACGGTAAATTTTCAATCGGGAACTCACAGTCTGTAGAATACTCAACGAATGACTTCATGACTACGGTTGTTTTCAACGACTGAACCGAGTTGTCGAATAAAAATCACTTTTGCTAACTCACGTGACAATTCCGCGGAGGCTTGTCAAGGCCAACTGGCCTCCGTCAGGTAATTTATACATCTGTTTACGGACAAACCCCCAGTTTAACTGGTTTGAATATTTTCCCACGTTTTTTCTGTCGAAATTCTAGGAGCGGCGTGCATTTATTAATTGTTTACGTCGACGCATAACTAAAGAACGCTTTCAAACATTTTTGTACTCTTTGGTATCAAAGGTGAAACAGTAACGTACTCGTCTGGTTGTAGGTAGTACCGTTCTTGATGATCATATTTAATAGTTACCATTAAATAAACAGTATATTTATCAATAAACATAGATTAGTTATAAATTAATCGTATAATTCCAAGTTCAATTAATTGTACCGAGCGGAAGGAGTAATTTCAAGGAAAGTAAAGCTCACCCGTAAATTTCACGTAACATGTATTGACAATTCGGGATAACAGCAGTTTATTAGACATTGATATACAGTGGATAATAAAGTCAATTAGGTTGATAGGTGGTACTCGTCGTACAACAAGGTGACGACGTGCCAGCAAACATCGCTACAACTTTATTTCGTCATATACTCCAAATTCTGTCTCGTCACTGGGAGATCGTTACGCTCACGTGGCACATACATATACATATTTATATATATATATATATAATTAATTCTCTCACCTATGTATATTTATAAATGTATTTTTCTTCTTTTCTCTTTTGCTTTCGTTCAGTTACGTACAATGTATAACGATAACTGCCACGACGATCGCGGGGCTTTCTATATTGTTAATAACTCTCATCGTTTTCTGGAAGACTTGGGACTTTGTTGTTTTCTCTCCTTGCTCCGTTCATCAACTTAGACTAATAATTAACGATAATGAGGCCAGGGTCCATCACCCCGGGCCGTTTTGATAAATCACAAGGAAAGGAATTGACCGATGTGGAATTACGCTTGTGCCGATTTCGTCGATGGTCTGGGACACGATACAAATCATACTTTCTAAAGTGCATTGGTGCATTTACGGATAATAAAAAGTGCGATAGGTTACGAGCATTTCGGGGGAGGTGCAATGTGCAGTCAGCGTTTAAAGTGCATAGTAATAATAATAAATAGTGCAGCGAACAAAAATCAACAGCATACAATAGAATATACAATAACAATGTAATATCAATTGAAGATGTGTAAGGAATCTTCATATTCAATTTTTATCACCATAATAATCAGACTGCGAACGTGTACGCAATTTCACGACCTCGTGTATTGATTCACAAATATAAGAATCGAACGAAAATTGATTCTGTCCAGCCAGTATTATTTTTACAGTGACAATAAAGTAAAGAATTTATGTAACTTCTTTCGGAGATCGTAAATATTCAGATCCGCGAGAAACGCGTAATATTCGCAGTCGATCGATAACAGATAATGGCGGAATATATTTACAAACATTCGATCCGTGACTCGGAAAAAATGGGCACAAGAATAATGTACAAAACCGTCTCGAATAACGGCACTCTCATAGCGGCCGTGCGCTTATCACGTTTTATATTCACGAACGACTTTAGATCTCTACATTCTCGTGATCTCTACGCAGACAGGCTCATCGTTTAATTTCCGTTCGCCGTAGAAATATACCATTCGATCCATATATCCTTGCTCCGATATCAATATCGAAGTTCGTCAGCCATTTTGTAGACAAAGAAAATACGTAACGCCGATAAAATTGTGGACAATTAACAACAACGGTTCGATAGAGTGTCTCTTGCAGGTATCGGAATTGTGGTCAGATGGATTTCCCTTTGATATTTCTCTTTTTATCGCTTTCAAAAATATCTCTCACCCCCCCTTTCCCTTTCTTTATTGTCTAAGGAATCATTCTGTGCGCGAGCTCGACTCGTTCCCTTGTCGTTACCCATGAATCATTTGTATTCAACTATGATCTATATATGTGATAATCGGACTACGGATGTTTGTGCAACGTTGCAATTCCAGATATTCATTTTATGGGACAGAGAATTCGATAAAATTCGACTTTCAGAGCTACTAGTTTTACTGTATTGTCTTCGATTCGAGTTTATTAAGTTTACGTTGGTATATTTTGAAGGTTAAGGATCGTATTTGAAGTTTGAATCGCACGAACCTCCGCAGTCCAGCAATAATATCTTGTCGGTAACTTTCCTCGGCCACTAACTTTTTTCTGCCTCTTCCCCTCCGTTTCTGGCGTCAGTTTCTGCGTATGGCGAAAGTCGAAGGGAGAAGGAAACGGTAAATTCGTAGATTTAGTACAATAGATACATTTACGCGCCTCCGTACGATTTACACCTAGATATCTTTGTAATTCGCTTACAACGTTAGACTCATCTTCATTTCATTAATTGTTACTCGATGGCTAGTGATCCGAAATCTATAGAGTCGGTCGGTTCTTAACTGTCCTTTCTCTCTTATTCGAACAGATTGAAATTTTTTCGTCGTTTGTTGTTCTTCTCGTCTTTACGGGCGAAAATATCGTAAAACTTGTCTAGAAAAAGGAAACGTTTTTTGATTCTCTTTCGATGAAACGATTTCGACCGGTGAGTGCTAGAGGCCTACGCGGTGACGAAGTTGTCCTAGAAGTGTCTTTCGATACGAAAACGAGTGACTAACTATCGAACTAAATTCTAAGTTAACAAGATCGTAGTCAGGATCAGTTTTACAGTGAGTATGATGGTAATCGACGAACTAAATGACAACCGTTCGCGCGAATACTTGAAAAAGCATGTACTTTCATGGGTTTGTGTTTTGTATCTTTAAAAT